ACAAACATCGCCACCGGATACTTTTATGGCATTCACACGGCAGGTGCTAGTTGATAGGCAGTGTCCATGCTTGCTGCAAAACATGTCTGTGGTCTTCCATGCTGTGATCACTCAGCTTGGTGTTTCTGCCGGAGAAACTCTTGCTTTCCCATGCTTCATCAAAGTTCACATTAAACTTTGAGTGGTAGCAATTGCATCATCAAAGCTTGGCTCTCATTCTTTCGACTCAGCATCAGCAGTAGAACTGGGTGTAGCAGTACTCCCAGCCTACGAATGTGATCTTTTAAGGAGAGAGTAGCCACATCCAGATCAGGCTAACATCCTGAAGGAAAGATTAGTGCTACTACAAAATATTGCCACTACTATCTTCCCATCAAGGCAACCCAGAAGAACTGGGTCTCAGAAGCTTGTGCAAAGAAGCAACAGGAACACATGCATCCATCTAACTCCCAACTGAGGTAATCTCCTAGAACAACTGGGGCAATTTATGGGGGCACCAGCGTGGAATTAATATTTGGAGGGCTTGGATACTGATCTAATGCCCTTCATGATAAAATCTCCCATCTAGGAATGTGATCAGTTGGTTTTACATCCTGATTTTAAGACTTATTGCAGCAAAAAATCGGTAGGCAGAAAGCACTATCATCTGGAGATGGGCTGCGGGTTATTTTGAAGTGTATATCAATAGACAAGCCATTCTGTTTCTTCTTTTCATCTACCAGGGAAGTTGTTGATGTTCTGAATCAGCATCTGTATAAAAGCGAATAAACTGAGTCATAATCTGGGCAAGACAGAGTGATTGTTGAATAAGAATTCAGCTTCTTTTGGAGGGCGGTACTACTATCCTTGAATAATTAGGTTTGCAGTTGAAGATGCTCCTGGATTCAGTTTTGCACCCACATGCTCAGGGGGCGGCTGTGGCCAGAAGTGTCTTCAGCCAGCTTAGTTTGGAACACCAACTGCATGTGTTCACCTGGGCTGGGTGGTTGCAACGCATTCTGCACTGACTACTTTTAGTGAGGCTTCAGGAAGCGCAGTTGGTCTAGAATGCTGCAGCGAGACTGCTGGTGGGACATACCACATCTGTCCTGCCACAGCTGCACTGGTTTCCCATTTGTTTCAGTGCACAACTCCAAGTGTTGGTGATGTCCTTTCAAGCTGTAGACGGTTTAGGCCCAGCTTACCTTAAGGATGATATCCTCCCATATCAGTCTGCCCACACCCTAAGAGCTCACAAATGGGTCTGGTTCAGCGGGTGGGAATGAGAGAGGGGGCTTTTCTCTGTAGCCTCGCCTGCCTTGTAGAACTCTGGCCCCAGTGGTTTAATTGACCTTACAGTGATGGCTTATGAGACAGAGCCTTTTTCATATCAGATAGATACTTTTTCTCCAGTGCCTCTGTTTTATGGGCAGACCTTCTTTACACATACCTCATTGTAAATTGGATTGTGCATATTGTTGTATTTTAATGTATGGTGTTAAGTGTCATTAACCATCTGAGTGGCGCAGAAGCTCCATAAGGACACATTTTTGTATGAAAATATCCATAAATAAAAAATCCATTTGAGTGTCAAAAAATAAGATGCTATTGTGATGAGACAGATTCCTTCCAGTTGGGCCAAAAGCAGAGAGTTCCATTTCAATAATATTTAATGTACTGTTACCTTAACTGGCTATTTCAGCATTATTTCTCAGTCAGTTTTTCACTACTTTTATTAACTTTGTGAAGATAGTGTTTAGTATATCATTACATTGAAAGCTCGTTCAGTGAACAGCCTTCCCGAGCAGCCTTCCCTGAACCAACATTTTAGAAACAAGTTATATTAACATATAAGAATGAAAAATTAAAATTTATATTGACAGATGCTCGTTTTGAATTGGTCATACAATAACTTTTTTGTATGACCAATTGTATGACAAAATAACAATGGATTTTTTTCCATTCCAGGGAAAGAGCGTTTTTTAATGTTTAAACCCCAGAAAGGTCCTACAGTCCTAATGTGGCTAGGAGTTTTTTCTGTCTAAACATGTGTAGAATTGCACCCTTACTATCCATGGATTGTTTCATGCTCAAGCAGAGCCACCAGAGAGTTAGCTAGAAAGGATGAGGGAGGGAGAGAAGGCATCCTTCTGAAACATGTAAGGGGTGTTCCATGTGTGATCCCAAGCAAAAGGAATGCCAGTACATTTCCAAGTTCTGACCATTGCGCTTGTTTCCTCCATGGATTGCCTTCACTGAATTCCCATGAAAGAATACAGGCCAAAGTCTCACTTCCCACCTTACCCATCTGTATTAAAACAGGGCTGCTACAAAGATAAACTGTCTGTCTTCTGCTGCTTGCACATGGTTTTCTCCTAGCCACAGGAAGGAATGGAAAAGTTGCTTAATGCATAGAGATTGTACTTGAAGCTGTTGCATTACAGTTGGTGAGTGCGATCCAAATGAGGTTAAGGGCCAGTTAAATTTAGTGGAAGTTACATAAGCTTAATTTTGCTTATAGTATATCAAAAGGAATTACGGGATACAATTTTTGCTAACTAAAATATGTTCATCATCATCATCCAGCCCCCAAAATGAGATACGTAGAAAGATTTCTATGTGTGTAGTTTAAGTCTTTAGATAGACTGGTGCTTGGAAAAAGAATATAGGCACTTTGTCTTTATTTCTGAATATATAAATTATTCCCCCTCCTTCATTCTACATTTCTTTGTTTTTTTTGCCATAAGCCCCTATCACTTACCAAAAAGCTCGCACAGTAATGAACAAACTTCATATTGTTCAATACTTTATTTTTTTCTTTTATAAAGATAAATTACTTCATATGTTTATTCCAATGGTTTTATAATTTACTATGGTTTAGATAAGTGCAAGTGGAAGGGATGCTTTTCTGTAATGAGTGCCTAAAGATAATTTTGTGGTCCGTGGATGCTTTCTGATAATCATCTAAAATGCAACAGATAGAGGCGGCTGCTGCTGTAAGCAAACTAAAACAATTATGCTATGGGAAAGAGCAGGGAGTATGGGATACTGTTGTTCTGACCCATTGAAACTACATGTGTGGGATATGGGCTCCTAAGAGTGGTACCAGAAAATTCAGTTCAGCCCCTAAAGCCGTATCCTCTGCCCTCAAACATGCTTAATCAGTTTTACAGCAGTCATGCAAGTTAAACCCATCAAGCTTATTAACTACCAAGTTTGCTAGTCTCACACCTAAGAACAGAATAAGCAACATATTGTAAAAAGATGGCTTGCCTGAGTGAATGGGTCTTGGATTTTTGCAATGTGGCAGACATGGTGGACTCGAGTATCACGTATGAAGTTTCTATTAAGTGAGATTACTGAAATGCCTTTGAAAATGAGTCTTTATTGTTCGATCTGCTGGTTAATGTGTAAATCAAAAGTAAGGGAGAACCACTATGTGGCTTCATTTATCGTATCTTTGAACACATTCCATTTGAAATTTCCTTTGTTTCTTTTGGCACAGCGTCCATTTGGCAAGAAGGCTACTACAGCTAGAAAAGCAAAACACGTTGCTCACAAAAGACCTGGAGCGTCAGAAGGAACAGGTTACCCAGATTTCACAAGAGGTATACGACTGTCAACTACACACACACACTCTCTCTCTCTCTCTCTCTCTCTCTCACACACACAATTCATGTATAGAATGGAATTTTAAAGTAGCATTTTAAATGCATTTATTCGGACAATTGGGGAAAACACATACCTACTAATCCTTTTCAGAGCAATTTATGTAGTATTAAAGCAGAGATGAAAAGACAGATTACTCTGCAGACTAAACAAAAACACAGACTAGACAGATAAGTCTCTGTTTCTGAAAAGGGAAGAACTAGCAAAACTGGTTCAATGTTCACGAGGTATTTTATTTTTTTCTGCAATATCACTGCTTGTATACAGTTGTTTTGCAGATTTCTTATCTATTATAGCATACTTACCTCCCAACTTACCAATTTTCCTAGACTGCTCAGTTTCCTGAGATTTTTAGCATGCACAAGTAATTAATTGCTGATATCACTGGTTAATGAGCAAAATTCTTAACAATCTTTTAAATCTGGTTTTTTGCAGAAATTTAATTAAACATTCTTTTACTGATACTTGAGAAGCCAAAGAAGGTGGTTGGGGGGGGTGGGGGACCACACACTCTGGGTGAGCTGGGCTTTGTTTACTTATTGGAATAACGCATGAAGGGTCGTCATGTCACCAAAACCAGGTCTTTATCTGTTGGGGACAGATGATTTCTAAGTTATTATGTGGCAACTGGTACCGCCCCCCCCCCCTTTTTTTAGTTCTGTCTGGGAAAGCCTTAGCCAAACATTGCTGCTAGATTCGTTTCCAGTTCATAGATCTTTAACACAAAAATTAATAATAGTCTAGGCATCTGTGTATTCCAGGCTTGGTTGTTCAAATACTTCCATCCTGTCCAGAGGGTGTCAGAAAAGGCTTTTCTGCCATCTCCTTTCCACCTAGCGGCCTGTCATGTTTTGAGTTCCCCACATGAACTACTTGAACCATGTGGTCTGTTTCTGTAAGCCCCACACATCCTCCCATGAAACCCATGTCATGGGACTGGTATGTGCGGCTGGGCCACATTGTTTTTGTTGCCTCCACTTGAGCGGTAACAAATGAGAATAATCTCAGAACTAGTTTTTCACAACTGCTGTTCGGCTTTCAGGACTGGGTTACATGTTACCTGTACACTGATGAGCTACCAGAAAAGAATTCCCCTGTGGTATGCTGTACACAGCATGGTATGCTGGGCAGGGATCTCCTCTAGACAGCTCATGCTCGCAACCCAGTCTGCAGCTGAATTAAGCTGAATTAGACTAATTGAAACCAATTTTGCCCAGTTCGGTTTGGGTGGCGGAGCTAAAGAAATTTCACTTCCAGACTTGTATTTCATGGTATAACAAGAATCCTGTAGTGCATGTTCATAAGTGCTGAGATTTGAAATTAATGGGAAAGGGGAAATTAATTTTCATATACAGATGCTGATTTAATTATGTGTAGTATTGAGATTTATTATTATGTCTCTTATCTCTTTGGCAGGAATGGGAACAAAGTTGAGTTAGCTGAAGTTTTTCAAATTCCATTTTGGAATTTCTCATTCCACCTTGAGACCATAGTTTTTTCTCATGAAAATCAATTTACATTTTCATGTGTATTTTTCCAAATGTGTTCTATGCATTCTTCCATTGATTAAAGGGTATTTGTACACCTTTTCAAAACTGCACGTTTTCCATACTTTTGAACACAGTGTTTTTGGTCCATAGATCAAATTGCTAGCTTGGAAATAGATGGCCTTCAACCACAGATTGCAAGTCTGTGTTTGGTCTGGAAGATGCAGGCTGGATAAATCCCGATTAAAAATGAAATCAAACAAATCTCACATAATCCTTTCTCTTAGGATGCATCTTTCACTATTTATGGGGAAAGTAAAGGTTTTGTGTGAAGCACAGAATATTGAAATAATGTCAAATACTACAATTATACAATAAATTAGCATATATAATTTGTTCTACCTTGGAAAGTAGCACATCAGTGCTTTGCACTTGGTAATTCCATACTTCACTTTAGCAGTATTAAGAAGTTTTATAGGAGGCAGTTATCCTGATAATAATAAAAAGATTTAGGTTCGCATCTTTGAATCAGCTGCCTTTAGCTCCGGCATACCACAGCTTTAAAAATGGTGTTTCCGAGTGGTTCACAAGATTATTCTTTAAATAATGAACAGGACGAAGATCACGTCTCTAAAAGCACACATTTTTCTTTCTTTCCAGCGTGACAGAAGTAATTCCTTGTTGAATCAAGTACAGCAGCCTTACAGATACCTCATTGAGTCTGTACAACAGAGAGATTCTCAGATTCTTGTACAAAAAGAAAAGATTGTACAACTTGAGAAGGATATTGAGTAAGTATTCAAAATTTTGGATTAGATAGTTTTAGTTGAATTTTAAAATCTTTTTCCTTAAAAATCTCTTAGTTTAGTAGCAGGCCATGGTATGAGCAAACTTTGCAACTGAAAGGTTCTCTGAAGGTTTTTATTGACTGTCGACATAATGAAGGCTATTGCATTATTTATTTGCATGTCAGTGCATTACATTGACTGGTTGCACACCGTTATAACTGCATAGGAAATTTTGCTTTTCCTGTTGGCCTAGCCATTTCTACAAAGCATTGCAATTCTCCATTGAACAACTGCTTCAAAGGGGCAGTAAACACAGACGTGAGGAAGTTGTATTGGCATCCTAACTGTACGCATGGCTTCTCCAGTGCCTTCTTGAGTACCACGGGACATGACTTGCTCATGCTGCCTCCTTGCAACCTAGCAGCTTAAGTGAAGATTTTATCTCATAGGTCAATGATCTGATGTCTCTGAATAATAAGCACAGTCTCTCAGGGCTTAATACCATGCATCATCCTCAAGAAGGGGGAAAGACACAGAAACCTGGCTCACACAATATGGGCAGTCCACATGGCTTGTTTACGGCACAGTGAGCTGCAGGGTGCGCTGGGAAATTTTTGAAGACTTAAACTGTGGCTTGTCATGTGCTCTGCCCCCTGATGACAGGGGTGGTGCAAGAGTTAAACAACCCTCGTGTCACCTCTCTTGCCCAAGTTCAAACTTCAGAACAAGCCGCATGTCCTGAACATTCATGCTGTCAGTCTGCTTGTGCTACAACCTACTTGATTGGCTACTGGACCATGCAAACTAACCCACGGTGTCACTGACTTCAAAAATAATGGTTCCAGCGGGAGGCCTTTATGCACTTCTCTGACATCCACCTGGTTCTCACATAAGCCTTATCATTGTTTATTTAACCCATGGGTTGTTGAATTCTAGGTTGTTGTGTAACGCAAATGTGAACAATGGTTTAGCAACCACGAACAACTGATGGCTTCTTGTTTGATTGTGCCACAAAATAAATTTGGATGTAGAAAGGAGGAGGAGGAAAACAACCAACCCACGGGTAGAGAAAACTATGCTGGGCAGGGTAGCAAACCATGAGCTAACCTTGGGTTAAACCATAGGTTGGAATTATGTGTCTACCAGATAATTGTGTGATGCCTACAATATTTTATATATGTTCTGCATCATATTGCTTTCTTTTCCCTGGAAGCAATTTTTACACAATCAGTAAAAGCAATAATTTCTCAAGCCTTAGAAAGCTTATATGAGAAGGTAGCCACTTTTGGTCCATGGGCTGCATTACACTGCCACCACCAGATCCAGGCCACAGGAGCAAACCTGATCATATCATAGAGGACGGGGCCTTCCTCCTAAAGAGCCATCCCTACCACAGCATCATCCGCCCCTGCCCTGCTACTAAAAAAATTAATTTCTGCATGTACAGTGAAACATGGCACTCTGTGCCCCTCTCTCTGTGGATAAAGGGACAGGTGTGGGCTTGTCGCAGTCAGCTCCTGGGAACACTGACCAAGGGGGGTTGCCCATTCCTTCACCGCAGTTGAGGCGGAGCAGCACAAACAGGGCTTGCTCCGGGCCTGCAAGAGCCATCTTCTCCGAGCCCTGGCCAAGCCAGGCTCCTTCTTCCCCTGCCACTTGCACCCAGCTGGGGGCGAGCAGAGTAGTAAGTGATGCAGGTAAATTCCCAGCATATCTCCGACTGGAGATGATAACGCATTTCCTGGTTGTCCTGCTCACCCCAGCGGGATGATGCTTAGGGAGGGGCCCATAAAGGATGCTCAGCCTGTGCAGGCCAGATGGGGCCCCTGTGTCCACAGGAGGTTGTCCTTTTCTGCATATTACATGGCAGACATTTGCAAAGCTGAAGTGAAGCCTGAGAAATGTAGGCTCGGGTGCTCTACAGCTTTGCTCCCTCTTTCCTCTGGGTCAGCAAGAGGCAGTGTGCGACTGGAGATAATCTTCTCTCTCACACATTGGGGGTTGTATTCGGTGTTAGCCCAAGTTAGAGCAGGCCCACTGAAATGAATGGAACTTAAGGAAGACCAACACTGGGTGCAGCCCTAAACATTAAAGTGTTTCAGAATCACAGGGCACTGCTCTGGGTGTGCCTCCTAACTGGAAGGAGTCAGCCCCAGAGAAATGGCAGGCAGCCTCATCCACATGTACAGTAGATGATTTTGTAGCTTTGCATCAGCAGTAAATGAATGATGCAGACCTACAGCACAATTGCCTAGTCCCAGAAGGATGATTAGCAAGAAGCAAAGCTAGAGCACTGACTCATGCAGAGACGCAGCAGTACTTTACTTCAGTGGGCAGTTTCTCTGTCCTGGTGCAGTGCTTTGATTATTTTAATTAGATGATGTGCTCATGGCACACTCATGTGCTGTAGCACAAAGTATGAGGGTTCTTCAAAAAGTTTAAAACTATTAAGAATTTCCAAAACAAATTACATCATTTTTCTACATAGTGCCCTTCCTTTGTGATGCATTTTTCCCAATGTCGTACCAACCTTTTGACGCCATCAGCAAAACAAAATATAAAATATATTTATAAAATATAAAAGTGAGGAAGCTTTTTGAAGAACCCTCATATGAGAATTGCCCATCTAATCTTTGCCATAAGCTAATTTCAGTCCTTTTACTGTTTGGTCATCACAGCCAGCATTATGGAATATTTAAGGTCCTCCTTGAGCCCACCTAGTCCAGCTGAGAGCCAGGAGAAATGCTAGTTTCTGTTGGACAAGTGCAGGGTGTGGCTGCGTATTAAAAGTCCCCATATTTAACTTTCCAGGATGAACATCCCTGAGAACTTAAAGTGTTTCATCTTGACCACATTCCGTATGTCCTAATTTTACTCACCTAGCCTAAAAGCCAGCAAAAGTGTTACCAGTTGATTCCTTTCTGTCTTCCTTAGTCTCAGTTTCACCAAGAAAGAACAGAATAGCATAAAGAAGCTCATTATGACACACTTGTTAATTCCCTCCCTTTATTTAAAATGTCGCCAAACATATTGCCTCCACTTTTTCCCTGTAAACTTTAATTCTGCTCTAAATACGTACAGTCATTTCAGCATTTTCCTCATCATTTTTGGCTGAATCCCATCCAGTTTTTCAACAACCTCCTTTAACTGTGACAGCCCAAGCTATGCTTGAATAATGCTATAAATGAAACCAGTTTTTTAAATTTATTGTGCCTTGTTTGTATACTGTAATATTAAAGAAAATTAATTCAGGTGACTCAGTCCTGCCATTTAGTTAAAAACCCTGAGCCTGAACCATTGAAGCCAGTATATTTAACATTTGCAATGACTTTAACTCCTAGTTTATATGGTCTGTTGCTCACAGCCTAAAGAAAGCATTCATGCCTTCCTTTTCAAAACAATGTAAACACAGGTTTTAACTAGGACAGTTTTTTTCTTTAAGCTGCTGCTTTGGTATGTATTCATGGTTGCCAACAATTGCTTTAAAAATTCATGTTGCAACCAGAATGCAAGATTAGAGGAAATCATCCTTTGCTATTACTGCATTTCCTAATACTATCCCTCTTTCTGCCAGTCTTTTAAATAAAGAAAAGACAGCTTTGCTGCGTGTCAAGAATCAAATGGCAGCAGACTTAGAGAGACTTCTAAATCATCGTGAGGTAATCTTCTTGTGTTAGCATAGCTATTACCATATATAGGTTTTTCTCAACATGTTAGTCATGAGAATGCTTTGTTTTTCTCCTGGGCAGTTTCAGAAATATACTTAAATATCCAACACAGTGTGTACCCCAGGTTCCCCCCGCACCGTGCTGTGCCCCTCCAGCTGCCTCAGATGGCTGGCACTGAGGCATGTGGCCCCACTGCTCAAACACGGCATCAGTGCCGATTGCTTCTATGACTGGTGGGAGCTCACAGCAGCTCCAAAAGCACCTCCCCGATCCTACCACCACCAGGGAAGGAGAAGGAAGATCCTCTGCCCAGTCGTTTCATTGATGGGCATGCATTTATTATTTAGAATGTGATATCTTCCCCTTCCATGTTGCTACTCGCAAATCTGCTGGGACAATGCAGCTTTGTTTTCCTCGTATATTTGTGGGAGTAAGAGGACCTGTTACTAACTCAGTAGTTCAGCATTCCATGAAGATGTTTCAGCAAGCTTCCAGTTTCCAGTTTATGTGCTTCTTCTACCGTCTGCTTCTCCACCATGACCAGGTATAATGTAACATGGGCATTACTGGGAAACAGAATTGTTGAGAGCCTGAGATATTTTTTCCTGGTGGACCTTGCTTCCTAAGAGTTTACCAGGAAAAGAATTTGAGATAGGCTGCCTCCAGTCAAGATGAACTTCCTGACATACCACCATTTGTCCAGTGTTTTGGGGTCCTGTTCTTAAGGCCACCTCCCTGTAGCACACTACAGAGAGAGAGAGTGCTTTGGACTTTCTTTCCCAAAGTCCACGTGTACAGAACAGAACAACCCTGTTTTTAAATGTTTTTTAAAATGCCAGCAGTAGTATTTTAACTCTGCTGTGTTTCATGTGGGAAAGAGTTTATTGAGAAATCCTTTCTAAAACAAGTTTGTTTATGGGAAAGGGGGAAGGGAAAATAATACGGGGAAAGCAACAGAGAAAATTCCAAATGTAATCAATAAAATCAATCTAAATAAACTAGTAGCATGTTGCCCACTGGACTAGAGTCTAGGGTTCCTGATCACATGCAAAGCTGTTCTCAGAGACAGCATATTGGTTTCCAGTTAGATGGCATATGGAAAGCTTCTGGAAGTAAAGAACGGACGCCTAAAGGGACCTGGGATAGTAAATTGGTTTATCCAATGTGATAGCTGCCATCTCTGATGATCAGTAGTTTAGCCAACAAATTGGAACAGTATTTAGTCACTAGACCCAGCTTCTCAATTACTATAAAATCATCTATCTATTTATTTAATTAATTTCTCCTTTTTCCTTGCAAGGAACTCAAGGTAGTTTAAATAATTCTCCTCCTCTCGGTCTTAGCACAACCAGGCAGTTCCATAGCTGAGTGGGGACTAGAACCAAGATCTCCTGAGTCCCAGTCCCATACTCTTTAACCATTACACCACACCGACTCTCTTAATTTAGCTTACATCTTAATAAAGCCAACTGGTTTGTAAAGTGTTCCGAGAGAACAGTATATAAAGATCTTTAATACATAAATAAACTGGTTGGGACCAGTCAACCAAAGGGAAAAATGCTTAATGTTTGGTTGCATTTTTGAGGACCATAAAATGAAATAAGGTGTGTTCAAGTTACCCAGCATGGTGCCGGCTTACCAGATGCTCTTGGGGGCACTGTTGAGCTACGAGTCAGAAGGAAGAGAAGAGCTTGCCCCAGGAAGCACAAAGCAGGGAATACAGGAAGAACCTAAAGCTCTTTCATGCAGCTTAGTGTTCCATCTGAACAAAGCCATTCTCTCTGTTCCCCTCAGCGAATGTCCTGAGGTTGCCAAAGTGGGGAAAGAAAGTTTTCAGGGGAATGTGGGCACAGGAACCACCTGATCCTTTCCCAAGGTCCCTACTGGCCTTGAAATATTCTGGGTGTTTGAAATCGGGAGGAGTTCTGTACTCCATTGCCACCTTTACTAGAGTATCATCTGTTTCTTGAACGTGCTCAGTTGCACAAAAGCAGGAATCTGTCTCCCCCCCCCCCCACCATATATAACAAGCTCTGTATTTGGTACTTTGGTCCCATCCTAAATAATACTCCACTTGAACAATTAAAATATAGTCAGTTAATTTTAACCTTTTCAGTTATTGCATTGCCCTTTGAGCCTGCTTTACAAGTGCCTTCTTACCTTAGCTGTTGGCAGAATACTTTCAGGTGGTGAAATGGAAATTACAAAGAGCTGTACATTGTGTCAAGAACTCCATGTACATTAATTTCCATTAAATGCCACCATCTGTCTCCTAATACATTTATTGGATGACATTGCCTTGGCTGTGTAATGAATTGTTAAGTTGTGATACACATGCTATTTCACAACTGTGCTAGCACTTACACTAGGTAAATTATACCCTTTTATTATGCTTTTAATACATGGTGTCAGAAAGCATTAACACAAGTCTCATTCATTTCAGCCTTTGTGAAAAAAATTGTTTCTCAGGAACTGATTTTTTAAATGCATGAAAAGACAAAGGTGACAAATTAAATATTAATGAAATTACATAAACTGTCTAAGGTTTTTTGAAATGTCCTACGTAGGTAAGTGTGTGATAGCTTTTAGAATAATTCTACACACATTTTCTGAATGTGTGTGCAAGGTATTAACAGTTCTAAATATGTTCCATGTATTCAGTGGCGTTTCAAGAAGCTCTCCCCCACACCTAACTATTCATAAATTATCAGCACTAGTCCTGTTTCATCAGGAGGATGAAATATCCACCGTGCATTCAAGTACGACCTTATACTAGAGATATGGAATATCAGTTGTCAAAATCAGCGTCCCTCATGTATCGGTTACATTTGTTAAGTGTCTGTAAGAACAAGTTGCCTAGACACACACACAATCATTTTAAAGCATGGCAATAATAAAACAAACAATCCAACAGTAAATCTTTCAAATACAGATAACAGTACAGGAAAATACAGGACAAATCATAGGATTTTTAAAACTTCCAAAAGGAGGTTAAAGCACCAGCAGTGCTACCAATCTTAAAAGGCCTGGGAAAACAAAAACAATCCTAAGCTTAGCCCTGCGAGGACAACAGAGTGAGGGCCAGGTTAGCTTCCCTAGAAAGATCGTCCTGTAGCCAGGGAAGCTGTGAGCAGAAAGGTCCTCTCTTGCATGGCCGCCCTCAGAATCCCAGAGTGAATGGACACTCAGAGGAGGGTCTCTTTAGCTGACCTTAGTGCACAGGTGATTCTGTACAGGAGGAGATTTTTCATTTGATCCCAAAGTTGTAAGCTTTGTAGAGTTTTATAGAGAAAAACCAGCACCTTGAATCCCATCATCACACCGTAAAGACATTATCTTCTGATATTTGCTCATGAACTGAGCTAATGAATCACTAAGATGTGTTGAACTTTTATCCTCCCCAGGTAGTTCTAATGTCAGCTGGATTTCATAACCCTTCTATCCAGTGCTGGTAGTGTGGTGATGCTGATGCTGATGGTTTAGAAACAGAGAAACAGAGTGAGTCAGAAGGGGCCTCCTGGGCCATCAAGTCGGACCCCCGGCTCCAGCCAGCTCCACTCATGACATGCCCACCATTTAATTTCTGTACTGCTCAATAGCTGAAGCTCTCTGGGCGGTTCATGCTGTACTGGGTCATTTCAGAGGTCTCCGGACTTTTTGTACCCATGGCACATTTGGGAACTGGAGAAACTGATCTGAGCACCACCTTAAAATATCTCCATGGACGGTGTAGCAAGTCCTGTAATGGCTGCTGTGAGGACCTGGCTAGGCGAGAGGGGTATGTTGGGGGGGGGGGCAGAGGGGCATGGCAAGGCTAGAGTCTGGGAGCAGGGAAAATGGGAAGAGCTGTTTCCTGCCCCTTTTCCTCTGTGTGAGCTTACTCTGCTCCAGCCTCTGGTCTTGTTCTTTCTCATCGCACACCTCCTTTCCTCACTGTTTCTCCCCATCCCTAACCTCTGGTCTTGCACCTTTTCTCTCTTCTAGCCTTTTGCCTTGCTTTTTCTTCTTGCCGAACAGCTGTTCAGTGGCAGATTCTGGAACAGGAGAGAGCACTTAACATTTCTCAATTGTTTGTTAATACAGTATTTTTAAGGGGTAGGGAATGATGAGCCTCACAGATACAACTGCAGGTAACAGAGTTCATTTCCTTTGGCATCTCAGAGAGTGTGTGTGTGTGCATATATGTATGGGCATGTAGGGTCAATATAGACTGAAGATACCCGCTTGCATAGTTGAATTGTGACACTACAATGTTTTACAGTAAATTACAGCCATCTCACTCAAAAAATGAATAAGGATTAATTGGAGATCCTCTTGACCTCAGTATAAGATTAGTGTGGTGAAATCTCATAAGTATAGGAAGGGGTAAAAGTCAAGTCACACTTTTAATATCTTAGAAAGATTAGTTTGACCTAGTGACCAGTAAAAGAATCTATAGTCCTTGTATATAAATATACAGAGTGCTAATATACTAAATATAAAGTATCTATAGTCATTTATTCATTAAGATGCTATTGGGTAAAATAGGGAAATTCATACTGGAAACAGTTGATATATATGTAGCAAAGGAATAACACTTCGTTGCCTTGTGTCCTTGCTGGTTTCCTCACTCACACACACACACACACACACACACACACACTGGCCTTGTGAGCATACACATGTAACAATAAGTGAAGGGCCAAGGATGTGTACCAGTTCTTTGTTTCATGTCACAATAAAGTAGAAAAATAGATACTTTTACAGAGTGGGTGTTGGGGGTAGGGGGGTTAGCCTAAACAACCATTTAAGTACAGGTTAAAAACTTTTAAGCACAGGTTAAAAAGTTTATTTTTAAAAGAATTTATGCTTAACACAGGCATGAACATATTAGAGAAAGAGAAACTGTGTGGTTGTATGCCAGCTCACTTGCGCATGTATCAGTAAAGTAATTCTAATGCATCTAACACAGCTAGAGAAAGGAGAAATTGAGGTTTCCGAAATAAGGAGTG